GGCTCCGGGGGTAAAGTTGGGCTATCAATCATTATATAAAGGGGCTTAACTGAAATGGGAAGGAGGCTGAAAGGTCATCATGGCCACAGGACAGAAAGAAAACAGGAAACGTGAAGAACTGGGGGAGGAATTGTGTATCATAGGCAGAGCCTGTTTGTCTCACACTGAATTTGGAACCATGCCATTTTTCATCAATAATCAATTGCACAACAACTGGTTACTGTCTCTGCCTTCAGGGAATACGTCCCCAGGAGATGCAGGAACAGCAAGCAATTTGGAAGGCAAATGGAATGTTAGCATTTCTTGCAAGAATACAGAAGCAAAAGTCTCATTTCAATTGTATAAAACATTGGTTAAATGTAGCTGGAGTATTATGCGCAGTTCTGGTCCTCTTGCCTAAGGGAGAATATACTTGCCATAGCGTAGGGCTTCCCACGTTCTGGTGTTACAACTTCCATTGTAGCAATGGTCACAAGGGAGTTGTACCCAAGGTACAACAGCTGTGCTCCTGCTCTAACTCATACTCCCCTCCATCCCCTTCACTCTTCCTGAGGGATCAAACCACTTTAAATTTGGAATGGGATCACAGTGGCTGGAGAAGCAGGGATGGACTGCAAGGTAGGTTTACCAGACTGAATCCTGGGATGTCTGGACTGGCCTTCGAGGAGATTGAAGAGACTAGCTGTCTATTCTCTGGCGTAGAATAGAAATGGAATAGAAGGACAGGCAGTATCGTGGAAACATACAAAATTCTTAAAGGCATAGACAGATTGATGTAGATAGAATATTTTCCCTGGCTGTGGGCCACAGAACCAGGGTAAACAGTCTCAGAATGTTAAGCAAGCCACTTAAGACTGCGATGAAGAAGAATTGCTTCACTCAAGGCTGAAAGTTAATTTTGTTAAATAATTGTGGTACAAAGGAAGTATTGCAACTGCAATGTAAGGTTTTGCAGTTAGTTCTGTGAAAATTCCACTTTTAAGCATATCAAATAAGGATCAAAAGGAGTTAAACTATCACAACAGAATAGACCGAAACAAATTTTATCTTTATTTAACAATGTTACCAATTGTTCACACATTTGAACACAATCCATCAATTCCCACTTGTACTTTTTTTGATACAACAAGAAATCACAGTCAAGGAACAAATGCAAAACATCAAGGTCAGACAGTAGCCGAGGAGCAGGGAAGTCAACGTTTCGGGCCGAAACCCTTCATCAGGACTGAGGAGGGGGAGGGGATCCCAGAAATAAATAGAGGGAGGACGATGGGGCTGGGGAGGGTAGTTGGGATGGTGATAGGTGAATGCAGGTAGGTGGTTATTGGTCAGTGGGAAGGGTGGAGCTGATAGGTGAGTAGGAAGATAGACAGGTTAGGCCAGGTCAGGGAGGTGAGGAGGAGGGGGAGGGCTGGACTTGGGACTGGGGGTGAAGGGATTTTGAAGCTGGTGAAGTCAATATTGAGGCGATTGGGCTGTAAGCTCCCAAGGTGAAATATCAGTTTATGTTTGGCCTCACTCTGACCAGGAGGAGGCCAAGGATGGGCATGTCGACTGGGGAGTGGGACGGGGAATTAAAAATAGATGGTAACTGGGAGGCTGGGTTTGTTGGTGTGTGCAGACCGCAGATGCTCCGCCTATGTGACCACTGCAGCGCACACACCCACTCCTGATGAAGTCTCCATGCCTGCCCTTGGCCCCAATTCTACACTCAGCCCCAGCCTCAAGCCCTGTTGGGTGTTCACCATGTCCCCTTAGACCTCCCCCTCACTGAGGCTGAACAGTCAGCCCTCAGTAAAGGGCTCACCTTCATTCCCCTGCACCCACACGTAGACAAATTCTGCGCGCATCATAACGTCAAGCTCTTTTTAAGCCATCTCTGCCTCTGCGCCTATTTCTTTGAACGGGAATCCAACCCATCCTCTAACGACCCATTCTCCTGCCTCCAGTAAGCTCCATCCTCCTGGACACCCCCCTCCTGGGGCCTTCTACCCTCTCTCGACCTCTTCATCTCAAACTGCTACCACAACATCAATCGCTTGGATCTCTCCATCCCTCTCACTTATTCCAACCTCTCCCTATCAGAATGCGCAGCCCTCTGCTCCCTTCACTCCAACCCCAACCTGACTATTAAACTCACCGACAAGGGGGTCGCGGTGGCAGTATGGCGCACTGACCTCTACATCGCTGAGGCCAGACGCCAACCTCTGACACCTCCCCCTATCGTCCCCTCGATCATCACCCCAACCCTGATCACACGGGAGATCGCCCATCCACAGCCTCCAATCTGATAGTTCCCCAAGCCTGCAGCACCCATTTCTATCTCCTCCCAAAATCCATAAACCCGACTGACCCATTGTCTCTGCCTGCTCCTGCCCCACTAAGCTCATGTCCCCCTCTACCTCAACCTCATTCTTTCTTCTTTGGTCCAGGAACTCCCTACCTGCATTTGCAATACAACTCACGCCTTCCAACTTTTCCAAAACTTTCAATTCCCTAGCCCCCAGCATCTCATCTCCACAATGGCATACAGTCCCTCTACACCTGTGTCCCCCACATGGAGGGTATAAAAGCCCTCTGCTTCTTCATTTCCCAGAGGCCCAGCCAGTCCCCCTCCACTGACACTCTCATTCACTTGGCAGAACAACTTTTCCTTTGATTCCTCCCACTTTCTACAAACCAAAGGGGTGGCCATGGGCACCCACATGGGCCCGAGATATGCCTGCGTCTTTGTAGGATTCGTGGAACAGTCCCTCTTCTGCAACCACACCGGCACCATCTCTCACCTCTTTCTCCGTTATTAATGACTGTGTTCCCGCGAGGAGCTGCAGCAATCCATCAACTTCGCCAACACCTTCCACCATGCCCTCAAATTCACTAGGACTATTTATGGCATCTCCCCCTCCCCAACTTCCTGGACCTCTCCATCTCCAAATCCAGAAACCGACTCACCACTGACATCCATTTCAAACCCAATGACTCCAACAGCTACCTCGGCTACACCTCTTCTCACCCACCCTCCTGTAAAAATGCTATCCCATACTCATAATTCCTCCACCTCTGCCGCATCTAATCCTAGGATGAGGCATTTTACTCCAGGACATTCCTGGTATCCCTTACTTTAGAGACCGTAGTTTCCCCTCCTCTGTAATTAAGGATGCCCTCAACTACATCTCTTCCATTTCCTGTGCTTCTGCCCTCAAGCCCCCTTCGCCCAACAACAATAAGGATAGAGTCCCCTTAGTCCTCATTAACCATCCCACCAACCTCTGAATCCAATGCAACATTCTCCGACATTTCCACCACCTACAATCAGATCCCATCACCAAAAAGACATTTCCTTCCCCACACCTGTCCGTTTTTCCAGGAACCTTACATTTCACGACTCCCTTGGCAGCTCTACCCTCCCCACCGACCCCTCCACCACACCCGGTACCTTTCCCTGCAACCGCAGGAGGTGCTACACTTGCCCCTACACCTCCCCTCTCACCTCTGTCCAAGGCCCCAAACAATCCTTCCAGATCCAGCAGAGATTTACCTGCACTTCACTCAACCTGATCTATTGCATCCTTTGCTCCCGATGTGGTCTCCTCTATACTGGGGAGACCAAACGCAAACTTGGGGAATGGTTCGCAGAACATCTGCGCTCTGTACACACCAACCAACCTGACCTCCTGGTTGCCATCCATTTCAATTCCCACTTCCACTCCCCTGGCCTCCTCTACTGTCAGAGTGAGGCCAAACATAAACTGGAAGAACAACGTCTGATATTTCGCCTTGGGAGCTTACAGCCCAATGGCCTGAATATTGACTTCACCAGCTTCAAAATCCCTCCACCCCTAGCTTTATCCCATGTACAGCCCTCCCCCTCCTTCTCTCCTCCCTGACCTGACCTAACCTGTCCATCTTCCTACTCACCTATCCGCTTCACCCTTCCCACTGACCAATCACAATGAGCTCCTAGCTGCATCCACCTATCACCATCTCTCCCACCCTACACCCCCAAGCCCCACCATCCTCCCTCTATTTACTTCTGGGCTCCCCTCTCACTGCCCAGTCCTGATGAAGGGTTTCGGCCCGAAATGCTGACTTTCCTGCTGCTCTGATGCTGTCTGACCTGCTGTGGTTTTCCAGCTTCACATCTATTGACTCTGGCTTCCAGCATCTGCAGCCCTTACTGTCTGCAAAACATCAAGGTTGTAAACAACAAGAGAAAAGACAAGGTAAATCAGGAAGGGGTCACTGTGCATTGTTACTTGATTCCTGCTTGAATGAAATGTATAATTAATCAAAATAATATGACCAGCATTTACATACTGAAGAATCATAGCATGGTCCCATGACTATAGTCATAGGACGAAGAAATCTTACAATTAATCATCAGGCTTCCGACAATAAATCCAAATAAAGGCTCCAATACATGTTAGCTGTACATTTACAGAGAAGGGAAAGTGACGAGGAAGTGAGGTTAGTACTTGGCAGTAGCTTCCTCTCCTAATTTAGAAAATCAACATGATTCATTCTAAATCTACTGATAACAGAGGTCCAAATTTCACTCAACTTCAGGATCGATTTTGTGATGAAAAAACTTCAGCACAAACAGTAATATACCAAATATGCAAAACAATAATGTTGCCATACTATATTAAAAATGGTCGCTAGTTTTTACTTCCCAAAAACTCAACATGATATAAGACACATTCAGATATGACAAATCACCTCCACAGGGCATTGCTGCAATGCAAACGATGCAGAAGTTTTTACTGCCCAGCTGAGAAAATGTTTGTTGAAAACCTTTTAATTAAAACTCATCCATTTTACTAAATATGCACACTGAATTTGTTAAACATGTAAAACAAAACAAAATAAAAACTGTTTATTTTACAACAACAAATGATTTAGAAATGTATCCTATTAGTCTTCAGTAAAATAAGCTATATGCAAATATATCTTGTAATTTTAAAAAGTACAAAAGTGTTTTTAAAGTGAATACAAAAGTTGTTGAACTTCATGTAATAAGTACCTTATGTTGTTATGAACATAAATAACAAAGGTTCACAAATACTGCTGTACAACAAGTGCAGTTGGTAAATAGGCTTAGAAACTACAGACATTTTGCATCAAGTTCTGTTAACAGAGTTGGATCAATTAGATCAATTTCATTTCACTACCTTCTCTGCTCCAGCAAATACCTGTTTTAACATATTTTATAACAAATCATTCACGGATTCCAAACAACCTACCATAGATCTTTCACTGCTGTACACATTCCTGCAATTGAAAGATATATTTTCAATGTCAGCAGGTAGAGAAAGGACTCTGCTAAAATGATTAACATATCATGCCTACTTGTGGATCCTAATTGTGCATTATGTATTGTCACAGCATTCAAGTTTTGAGCTACAATTCTCCAATGTACCTTTTTAAGAACCACCAGTGGTATGAATACCTAAATGTGCTTTCAATGCTAATTGCACCTTGTGAGTTTAAAAAAGATAACTAGAATATAGACTTCAAAAATGTTTAAATTGAAATGACTTAAGATCCTATATATGATCCTAATATTGAGGTTCATGCCTGTGGGCCTATTTGTGCACAGTAAGCACCAACTCAATCTATAGTAAGCAGTTTATTGCATTATTATGCAACTTTTACAAAGTAATGGAATGAATATTGACTTTGGTGTCTAGCTAGACTTTACCATTTTGTCAGTATGAGTAACCCAACATTGCTTCAGGACAGTCAGGAAAATGCTAGAGTCTAATGGAATCTTAACAATACATTTAGAAATTCATTGTATGATCAGACAGAGTCAATGAGGTTTTTTTTTGTAAGGAAAATAGTGTTTTCACAAACTTATGAGTAATTTTTGAGGATGTAACTAATAGGGTAGATAGAGAAAGGTATAGTAGATTGAATTTTCAAAAGGTATGTGATAATGTGCCACAGAAAATGTTAATGCACAAATGGGTTAATGAATTGTAAAGTAGTACATTTGCATAAATCGAGAATTGGTTAATAGACAAGAATCAGAGGGTAGAGTTAAATTTTCAAGTTGGCTGTAACTAGTAGAGTGTCTGCCCACAAGGATGATAGGTGAGCCTCAGCTTTTTACAATTTATTTTCTTCATTCCTTCATAGGATATGGGCATCACTGGCAAAGACCGTATTTGTTGCCCATCCATATTCACATTTGAACGGAGTAACATGCTAGACGATTTCAGAGGCCAGTTTAGAGTCAACCACACTGATGTGTGCCTGGAGTTGCATGCCGACCAGACCAGGTAAAGATGAATGGACGAGTAAATCAGGTGGGTTTTTATGACAATTGATAGTTTCATGGCACCATAAAACTGAATTTAAATTCTGTCAGCTGCTATAATGGATTCTAGAACCCATATCCCCAGAGCATTAGCCTGGGCAGAGAAAAACGAAAACAGATCAAGCAAATTTCTGACTGCCTTCCCTGTGTGTTAACAGGTCATAGCCCGAATTTGGGCTGACCATGTTGCTCCAAAGGGATTAAAGTACAGCTGTATCACTACCATCTTTAGGAGGTAGTGGTGAGAGACCTTTGGAGGAGCTGCACATTTAAGCTGATACATAGGAAGACAGAGTTTATTTTTAAATGCTTTCTATATATCAACATTCAAAAGTGGTTTTCCTTCAGATAAGTGAACCAATAGTTTATTTGCTTATGAGGCTTACCAGCAAAGCCTGAAATTAGAATGCATACAAGTTTCTGGTGCAGAATTTGAGATCTAAAAGAGAATTTTGTTTTCTTCCCAGTCATTGCAAATGTTCGGTGTTGAATAGACCTGATCTGACCTGGGGAGTTAGTCCTTTTCTATTATTTGAGCTGCAAATGCAGTTCAGAAGATTCATTGCTAGTGGATGAATGAAGGCATCTTGTCTTGTAGCTCACTTTCCAATATTACACATTCTTGATTTATTTTGGAGAGTCAAAATAAAGTTTACATTTAATGGAAGGCAGCAAACTCCTTCATAATTGTTTTTCCGTCAGAGTAACAGTAAGATACTGGTACCAATTAGAGAAACCAACTGTGGGTCTCAACAAAATCTTAATGACACACAGTCATTGTGGTAAGCCCTCTTGAATGATATACTTCATTCTAATTTATCTGGAACATAATCATCTAAATTTTTACTTTCTCCTTATTTGGTTATTTACCATTTTTGAATGGTTTTTATTCAATGTTGCTATTTACTAATGAACATACATCAAAAGAAGAACTATCCTACTATCTCTCTCAAAAGAAGAATGCTTTGTTTTGCTATTCACTCAATCCTTTAATTTATGAAAATACATATTTTTCTGTTCCCAAATAAAATATACCAAATGTAAGTAGAGTTCACCCAACCGCATTGTGCAAAGAACACAGCTGTGCTGAATGTAGCTATTTGTTTTTGCACTTTGATCTGTTACTGTGTTCCCTCAAACAGGTTCATATAAAAGAAAATCACCAAGTGACTTATCCTGTTTAGACACCTAGGAATTATTCTTCCCCTCCTCAAAAACTAATTAAACAAATATAAAAGCACTTTTCATTAATGTATTGGCGCAGAAGTACATTGGAGTCAGGAAATATTTCTTCCTTAAACTCTGTTCTTAAGATATCTAGTATGAGAGATGCCAAGCAAATTTTAAAGTAATTGGCTAGAATATGTCTCTCAGTTGTGCTAAATGACCTGCAGTTGAACATTAGGATTGTTCATTTTTTTGTTTCTGTTCCAATTCCCGGATACTTTCATAGTCATGCTCTCCTTCTTTGCACTGAGATCCGTTTTCGTTAGATTCAGTCTCCTTGTCTATAGATTCCTTTTTTGGAGCTCTGATAGGCTCATATCCTGGATCATTCTCCTCCCCTACATCATTTACAGATGGATTTTGACCTGCAGCCTTGGGTTCTCTTTCATAGTCAGCTACAGATGCATACAGATGACTGGCTGTAGATGGGCGCCGTTGTGGAGTCACCTCATCAATGCTGGCATACCCACCTTCCTGCTCTGCCTCTGCTTGGGACCACGGCTTTGCAGGTTTATTCACAGTGGAGTACATGGCTGCAATCTGGAAAGAAACAGTTATCCAGCTTTAGAATTTTAGATGTATAAAGCAAATTACACAAAAAATGTATTTGATAGATTTTAGACATAGTGTTAAAAGTTCAAATCTAAAACATTCTACTCTAATGCTGACTGATCAAACATAAATTTCTACAAATTCTAAACTAGTACAAAGTATTCTTCCACTTGAGTGTGAAATTGTAATGTAAATTTCTCTAAATCTTAACGTATCTCATTATCTCAAACTTTGATACTGCAATACAAGAGTTAAAGAGAAATTGGCTGGAAACTGTGTTTAAAGAGTTAAGGCATTATTTGTCATGATCATGTTTATCATGCATATCGTTACAGCTTTTTAAAACCAACTTTTAATCCAAAAGTTACTCTACACGGTTGCTGCTATGTAGGGAATCATGTGAGATCAATTTACAGTCAAACTGTATTTGCATGCCATTATTAAAATAGGAATAAATTATGTAAAACGTAGAGGAGTATTTACCTGTATGCCAACTGTCAAATTTCACAAGAACGGGCTACTTTCTTTAAGTGAAATTACAAATCAATAATATTGAAAACATTACCGTGTCAGCAACTAATAAATCTACGGAATAAACTCCTTAGGACGACAGTGGAAGAAGAACTTGTTGATTCATACAAATGTAAATAACAGAGTTCAGATTTTGGAAAATTGTACATAACACAACTTGTATTTACTTATACAGATCTTTCCGTATCCACTGAATATTTTAAAATGCTTGACAGTCAGTTAATTACTTTTGAAGTGTCGTCACTATTATAATGTAAGAATTGTTGCTAATTGGTGCACAGCAAAAGAGCAGTGTAATAATGTCCCAATAATGTCTTCAATATTTCAATATTTTGTGATGTCGATTGAAGGATGAATTTTCACCAGGATACCAGGTTAATCCATCAGTTCTGAGGACCAGAAATGTTAACTCTAATTTTCTCTCCACAGATGCTGCCAGACCTGCTGAGCTTTTCCAGCAACTTGTGGTTTTGTTGTTCAGGATAATCCACCAGTTGTCTTTCAAAATAATGCCATGGGAACTTGTACATCCACCTAACCAGGTACTTGGCACTATTGGCTAACATTTCACCTGAAAGACGACATCTCTGTTGTGGGTTTACTTTGCCTTTAAAAGGCAACCTTCAGGACTTCATATGTGTTGTGTAAACCATGTTGTGACTCTGCCTGCCAATCAGTCTGCTATAGATTTTGCAAGCTGCACACAGAGAAATCAGTTGCTTTACTCGTGTCTGATTCATAGCTTGTGTTTTACTGTTTTAAATAAACTAAACCACAGAGTTAATCAATCTCTGACAAGAGACTTATTATTAGACCATCTAATAATCTCTCCTAATAAAAAGAGTACAGAGGGAAAACACAATTACCCAAGTCGAAAAATTTATTTTATGCAACTTCCTGAATTGAAATATTTGGTTAGAGATCTGCACCTTACTAAAAAGCTGAGAAAGTCTAACTCTCAGTTTTTAGGTATTCATGCAAGGAAACTTCACAGTTTACAGGAAAGAACAAGGCAGAATCAGTTATGTCAAACTTAAAGATTTGATGTAGAGGAGTAAAACTTCTGGATTTGAATCACTGTAAAGTGATGGTGTTGGGAAATAGATTGAACCTTCATTTTGCTAGACATTTTAAAGGTCTATCATGTTTGAAAAGCCAGCAAGCAAGTTAATGTACAGGTGAAATACGAGTTTGACAGTTTCACATCATGCAACAGTGCATGAAACAATCCTCAACATATTCTGGAGAATCTTGAAAACACAGTTGCTGGTAAGCATTCCAGAGGCTAGTTTAATTCACTTAAGAAATGGAATGATCAGGGCATCTGCTGGAACAATAGCAAGCAAGGAAAGGTCAAAGGAATATTGTCAGAATGTCCACAAACTTTCATGTGCAGGATCAATCATGCTGAAGCGCAAGTACAATCATTTCACCCGGACATGGCAGATGTTCTGCATCACAGACTCCGCTGAAATAGTATGCCATGATCTCACATTAGTCACAATTGTTCGAATCAATCGATATTAGATACTCAACAGAAACTGTGGCTTACTATTCAAGGAAAAGCTTTCAGAAAGTAGAATAGAACATTTGACTTCCTTCTGAATTGGTGGAGATAAAATCTTAGCGCTCTGCTGTGAAGAGCAAAATGGAAGTTCAAGTAAAAGGCTGAACATTAGTACAGAATAAATTTGAGAATACCATCTCAGAGATGGTGAAGTCTTTACAGTATACCTCCATTCAGCTTACAAAGGTGAATGAAGAGCTGGAAAGAAAGAATGAAAGCAAGACAAACTGCACACACTTTACCATCATTCTAATGAAAAGATTGCAGGAAGATCTGGAGTCAGCAACTATGCTCCAGTGATAGAACTCAAATGGGAAATAGAAGAAACCAAATAGCCACAGAAGCAGCAAGTGGAAGAGTCCAGGTTTCCACAAAAATTACTAAATCAAAAAGCTGGACAGTTATTAGAGCAGGTTATGAAGAAGGAAAATATACGAGACCATAAAAAGTCTAAAAATCTGATCGAATTTGAAGAATCCAGGATGTGAAACCAGAAGTTTCAAAATGAGTTAGAATTACTGGAAGAACAAACCAGCAAATGACAGAATATTTGAGCTACTCAAAATAGATGGAGGAACAAGAGCACAGTCAGTAGTTAATCTGAAGCATGACTGGCATGACAACAAAGCAAATTCTGGAACAGCAACTATTAAAAAAAGCTTCTGATGATATATATAATTTTTAGATCATGATTTAGATTTTGTATTTTGAAATAGTGACAAATGGGTTGGTTACTTTATTGAAGTTTTAAGAAAAAGTAACTAGTTTAGGCAGTCCTTCTGGAACACCCAATCCAATATGTATGTGTCAGTGCACAGGGACTCCCTGGAAGATTGCTTGTTCTGTGTTGTTTAAAACAAGAAGCATAAGCATTGAAGGCCATTAGCTTGTTTTGGTTCAAAATAATCAAGGATTGATATTAGCTTAGTAAACTCAGAGACTGAAGGTTTTGAAGAGACATGAGTGGGGTCAGAAGTAAATATAGTTTCTCTTCAAATTAAAAGAGTACAGAGGGGGAGCACAGTTACCCAAGTGGGGAAACATATTTTGTGCAACTTCTTGACTTGAAATACTTGGTTAGACATCCGCAGGTAACTAAAAAGCTGAGAAAGTCTAAACTCTCAATTTTTAGGTATTCATGTAAGAAAACATCACAGTTCACAGGAAAGAACAAGACAGGATCAGTTATGTCAAACTTAAAGATTTGTTATAGAGGGGTAACTTCGCTGGATTTGAATTACTGTAAAGTGATGGTGTTAGAAAATAGATTGAAACTTTGTTTTGCTTCACATTTTAAAGTTTTTTTCCAACTACGTTCTAAATCTAGAAAATGTGGTTTGTTTTCTTTTGTTTTTGTCCTTGTATAATAAATTTCTGCTGTTAAAGAAACTCTGCAGCCTCACAGGAATATGTTTCCAAAAAAATGACCACAACATTAACTTAAATAAAAGATCCATCAGGCTAGAATTCATTCTGGGATCTGACTTATCCAGTAATACAGTCAGCGGGGATCATCATAGAACACAAGAGAAATTACAGACAGCAAACAAAAAATACTGGAAATCACAGAGAGTGAGGCAGCATCCATGAAGAGAGATCAAGCTAATGTTTTGAGTCTAGATGACTCTTTATCAGAGATGACGTGAAGTGTGGAAGAGGCAGCATTTATGCTATGGTGGGGGAGTAGAATACTGGGGGAGAAAGGGTGTTGATAGTGCAGATTAAATGATCAGTATGTGAGAATGGCAGAGTGAAGGTTGTGACCAGCAGTGGTCAGCTTGGTGATGTTGGTCAGGTCCAGCTAGGCTAGAATCAGCCAGGGAGGGTTAGGTCTGGTCAATGGAAGCCTAGGGGTTGGATTCATTAGGGGTCATATTGTGCAGGGGTGGGGGGGGGTGGGGTTGGGAGGAGTGAGCATTGCTGTTGGGATCTGGTGAGGGGATGAGCATGTCAGGTCTGGGTAGGGATGGAACCGGGATGGAGAGGAGTTGTGTGTTAATCCCAGCAGAGACGGGTCAGACTGGGGAAGAGAAGCGGTGGTTCTGGGTCCAGTCAGGTGATGACGGGGAGGTGGTGGTGGATCTGAAGGGGTTGCGTTAGGAAGGGCAGGTTTCAGAAGGGAGGAAAGAACAGTGTGTCAATGGTTGGGGCTGTCCATGGTGACCCTGCTCAGTTCAGTTTAATAGTTACTCAGGAGTGAGAGCAGGTTTTTAAAGCTCTAATATTTCCTGGATCCTTATTAAATTTAAGTCAGTCAGAACCTTCCAACTTTCAGAGGGTTCCAGATCCAAGAGACTTGTCCGTCAGAATTGTAACATTCCCAGGCAATTCCCTCTAAATCAGCTGTGTCAGAGTTCCATATGGTCCTGACCTGCAGTGACTATTTGGGCCATTGTCTCTATTTATCGATTTGCAGCCGATCTTTATTATTTAATGTAACGTTGGCTCAGAATCTGCATTCTGATTGCCTATGAATGACCTGAAATGTTTATTCTTGAAAGTGATGACAAATTACTTCTGATCATATGGTTATTAGCTTCACAACAGACACAGTTTTTCAAGCTATCACATAAGTGTAGCGTATCACGAGTGAACAAAAACAAAGAGATGACATGTAAAAATGTAAAACTTGTGGATATTAAGAAATAACTCACGGTACCTCCTCTACTGCACATAAACATCTTACATACATAATGGGAGGAGGACAAACAACAACACCTTCCAGTCGCCAACCATTTTAACTCCCACTCCCTGGGTGACATGTCCATCCTGGGCCTCCTCCAGTGTCACAATGACACCACCTGCAAACTGGAGGAGCAACACCTCATATTCCACCTCAGGAGCCTACAGCCCGATGGCCTAAACATGGAAGTCACCAGTTTTAACATCT